CCAGCCCTGTGCAGGGTGGGCACAGCTCCCCCGGCCGAGGAGAGGAGGAGGAGGAAGGGGGGAGTGCTGCAGTCCCCGTGCTCCAGTTCTCCTTCTCCTGAGCATCCTCGCAGCCGCAGGGACACGCTCCAACCATCCCCAGGGGGGCTGCAGCAAGGCCGGGGCAGGGCTGTCTGCTGCGGGGTGGAGCTGGCTGGCGCTGGAGGGGTTAACGCAGCTCCTCCTGTTTCCTGAGCCAACAGGAAAGTTCGGAGCAGATTGCCAAGAGCTTCCTCTGCTCAGCCCTGCACCGAGCAGATTGTGCCGCGTCTCCTTGGGAGGAAGAGCCGGGAGTGTTGTGTGACCTCTGTGGTGTGCTGTGACAATAAACTGCTCCCCGTGGTTCCACCGATGCCTCTCCCAGCCTCGTGTTTTCACAGTAAATGTTTTGGATGAGCAGGAGTCGCTTTCCTCCTCCCTCCCCTCCTCACTCCCTGCTCCTGGGAGAGATGTGGGCAGGAAATTTCAGAACAGGCTCTGTGTGTGAGAGGAAAACAATAAGGGCTGGTCTGTAACCCAGGGCAGCGGGGCCCTGGCAGCCCTGGCACAGCCCACGGGCTGGAGACAGAGGGTCTAAGAGAGCCCAGAGATGGTGGTTGCTGCAGAGGCCGAGCTGTCCCTGCCTGTCCCTCCTCACCCACGGGCCAGGAGCAGGGCAAGTACCCTCTGGGCTCCTGGGAAATGGTTTCCAGGGGAAAAGGGCTCTCCTGGGGGGGCAGGAGTGATGGGCTGGATCCCCCTGAGGCAGGGCAGGGTGTGGAAAGGCAGCCAGCCTGCCCTCGGGCTTGCAGTGGGGCTGAACTGGTTTGGGTTATTTTATTTTGGTGGAGTTGTTGGCAAACGGAGCAGAGAGCTGGGCTGGCAGGGGGCGTGTGGCTCTGTCCCACCCACAGGCCGTGCCCAGGGCTGGGCTGGGGTCTGGTCTCCCCTCCCTCAGCAGCACGGTGGCATTGTCCAGCTGCCCCAAGCAGGCAGTGTAGGACCCCTGTGTACCACTGCCACCCCTTTCAGGGAATCCCAGACTGGGGGTTGGGTGGGAAGGGACCTTTAAAGGTCACAGAGTCCCACCCCCTGCAGGGACAGGGACATCCCCAGCTAGAGCAGGGTGCTCAGAGCCCAAACCAACCTCCCCTGGGATGGTTCCAGGGATGGGGCAGCGACCACCTCTCTGGGCAGCCTGGGCCAGGGGCTCAGCACCCTCAGCATCCAAACTTTCAAACAGCCACAGCCCTTGAGGGTGGCACCACGGGGGGCAGGACAAGGGGCCAGGGATGTGACTGAGCCACAGGCTGGTTCCTCCTAATTTTGGATTGACATCTCCTGTGGTGATGGGAGCACTGGGACGGCCGCGGGTCTGCCCAGCCTGGGCCAGCTGGAGCCGTGGCTCAGCCCCCGGGGGCTGGAGTTCCATGTCCCTGGGAAAGCAGCTGCTCCCTGCTTAACGGGGTTTAATTAACACTCCCTCGTTCAGCTCGGCTGTGGCAGCAGGGTGGGAGCTGGCACCCCGCAGCGGGAGCCAGGCATGGAGCTCTTCCAGCTGTGTTTGGGTTGGCCAGATGTTTCTGTTCAATAGAGGAGTGTCCTCCCTCAGAGAAAGTCATTAAGGCCAGCATGGCTCGTTGCTAATTAAACCCTGGAGAATACAAGCGACCTCACGCTGCTTCCTTG